TTTGGATAAACTAATTTAACATAATGTGAAAACTTGTCAGGTAAAAAATACAAATAAGAAGGAATGCATGGATTTTATAGAATGCTATTTGTTTCTCTCAGTAAGACCAGCTTTTATCATTATATTAATAATTACCGCATAATAATGAATGACATTGCATGTAATATGATTGATCATCATGGACACTGGTATAAACTATATTATTGATCATTTAATTACCCAGTTGTCTACTCACGCAAAGACAGGTGCCGTTCTTTATTTACAATTAATTAATTAAAGCGCCTTTAAGGCGACATAAACCTAATTTCAAAAACCATCCTACAATCGAAAAGTTGCAATTCAGCAGGAAAAAATATCAAATTTTCTTCCTTCAGACGATTGGATTCTGAACAAAAAAGGAGGCTCAAGATAAATGACATTTTAGTTTGGTTGCACCATGGGAGAATGAATTTTAGGATGGATTTTTGCATGTATTAAGTCTCTAGTCTATAAATGGCGAATTCAAGAATATTAATAAAAATAGATCTTGGATAATGTATCTTTGATTGGCCGAGTAGGAGACAAGCTGATTTATGTCTGTCATTATAAACTCCTCCGCTCAAATTCCTAAATGGGCAACATTGTTTCCAGAATGCTATTAGGTCAAAGAAAAGACGGATCTATCCCTAATAAAGAGATATTTTGTCATCAAAGTAAATATAAAAAATATCTGTAAAAATTGTAATATTTATAAACCACTCCTTCTTGAGGACAGTGACTGAATTTATGCCTCTCCCATAAAAATATTTATTTGTTAAATCATTAGGTTTGAGGTATGGGCTTATCAAATTTAAAAATTACTCATATCCAGTAAACACCAATGTAAAACAATGACCCACTGCATTATTATGCATGTCCAATAATGCTAATGCTTCATACCAGCCTATATTTACATAACAATTCAGGAATAAGTCTTGTGGGGTATTTCATCAAGCAAAAAGAAATATTCAGCAGTACAAATATTAGTAGATAAGAAAGCATGAAAAAGGCAAATTTTAAAAAACCCCCCAAAAATTTCCACATAAATTTTAGAAATTACGGGAAAAAAATAACATGATTAGTATTTAAAAAGATTTGCTAATCATAAACTTTATTATAAACCAACCCTTGTAGTTTTTACTACTTTGAAAATTTACATTAACATCCTTTTGGGAAACTTTTGTCACAACTGATTACCCCCCTCAAATTTTTAAGAGCAGAAATTTGTGGGAAATTTTACCCAAACCCCCCCATAAGCCTGCTGGGGCCAAAACTGAAAATCCCGAAGAAAGCAAAATTGGGGTAAAAAATTTAAACCCGGCACACCCTTTCAACTGAAAAGAAAACGCCCCTCAAAATTGATCGGGCCCTGTTTACTTATTTTGAAATTTTCCCTAAAAATGATGAATGCTAAAAATTTGCCAAGACTGAGATAGGAAAGTGCATTTAAGATATTTAGCATGATATGGCAAAAAGAGTGAAGAATATTTTATTTCAATATTGGCTTAACTCGCCACCTGCTTTCCTTGAAAATCTATAGCATACTTTCAATAATCACAAAAGAATTGCAAAGACACATAATTTAATTTGATACCCTATATTTCTCATAGAATTCTACTAATTTTAGTCCCTTGCTTTGATCACCATGGTTTCATCTTTAATACTGAAACATAGTAATGCTACTGAATGAATGATGATCAAATTTCATCATAAAAAACTCCAGTTCTAAGATAAGAATTTCAAAGAATTTGATAATGATATAATTGCATGTTTCTCTCTCTAATTACAGGGAATAAATCAATGTGACTGGGGAAAGACATAAAAGTTTGGACGAAAGCAGTTTCAAGGGAAACAACAAGAATTTTTGGTCCAGACAGAAAATTTGGTTTTGTTGGGTACTTTTCAAAAAATACTCGGATGCCCCATTTTCCCAAAAAAGTTAAAAACATTCAAAATTAAAAAAATTTTTTAAATAAAAAACCTTTTTTTTATGGGCCTGTTTTTGATCACCCCTGTTTAAGGCCCAAATTACTACCTTTTTAAAAGGCCCTTTTCCGTTTCACAAAGCACACCAAAAAAAAACAAAAAACCGGAAATTTTTTTCATTTGCCCTTTTTTAAAATAAACAAAACTCGGGCCAAAATTTAAAAAAATTTAATTTAGAAATTGGCTCCAAAACCCCAAAGCCCAAAACAAGACCCCGGGCGACGAAATTTGGCTTTTTTCGTACGGGGCAATATCCGCCTCTAAAAGCAAATTTCGGCCCCAAAACGAAAAAAAACTCAGAATAAAGTTTGGCACGAAAATTTTTTTACTACAGATCCCTATCGGTTCCCAAAGCCTTAAAAAAATCGAAAACAAATTTGTACCCAGTGGAAAAAAAATGTAAAAACCTAGAGAAGCCTTGATTTTTAATATCCCCCTAGAAAAAAATTCCACATTTTTTGCCCCCAGATTGTTAAATACGGGTTCCTGAGAGGCCTAAAATGAGTTTTGAAACGGCAACCACAAGTAAAATTTAAAAACTCAGCTACGGGAATTTTGAAAAAAAGGGACGGAAATTCCCTTTTTAAAAGAAATTTAAAATTTTTCAACTTTAAATCCCAAAGTAGGGGGCCACCCAAACTAGTAAAAAAACCCCTAAAAAATTTAATAACATTTTAAGCCCAAGAAAAAAAAATTTGGGTATTTTTAATAAACCCAAAAAAATGCAGCAAAATTAAACACAACTTTTTAAAAAATTTTTTCAGACAAACATATCAAAAACTAAATTTTATAGATAAAAGAAGATAAGTGCATTTAAAAAAATTTTCCCTAAAGGGCCCAAATTAAAAACCCTTTCAAAACAACACATAAACCCATTTTCCCCTTCATGCATAATCCCAAAAAATCAAAATAAGTTTGAGGGTGTTTAAAAAAAGATGAAAAAATTAAACATCCTACCCATTTTGTTTTTTTTAAAATTTTAAAGGATGCAAAAATAAACTTTAATGAAGGGGCAATAGCCCACATGATCGGCAAACAAACCAAAACTCCTCCGCAAATTTCGACATATGCCCAAGTAAAAACCCTTTTAAGGGAAAACAAAAAAGTCAGCGGAAAAAAAAAATTTTTAAATAGGAGTAACACTAATCCCTTTGCTTTTCTAACATTTTTTTAAGCCGGGGTTTCCGGAAATTTATCAAAGGAATTAGACAAAACAAAAAAATTTTAGGTCTTATTCTACGTTCCCGACAAAATGTGACGCTGAATGACAGATGTTTAAGAAGCAGCGACGAGAGTCACCAGTGTGTTACAATAACGATACAAGTTGGCTGGTAAAAAAATCTGTTGCCGCACTACTGGGAGAATATACTCAATAATATTTACATAACACGTGTGACTTTTCGAATTATTAATGGGATATTACTGTATTAATGATCATCGCCTTACAGGAACTTCCAATAATTACTTAAAAAGTGTACAATATTGGTGGAAATTTAACAGTGCACCATTGAATTGTGCTGACAATGTATTGATCACAAGTTATTGATGAAAATACACTCAAAAATCATCATGAAAATATGACATGACGAAATTTCAACGTCGGAAAAAACTGTGAAAAATACAAAGTGTCAATATCTAAATGGAACATTGACAAAGTACTGTATTTCATCAGCAGAAAGGCGTGAAATTGTATTGACAGAAATCATTCTGAACGTTTTCAAAGCGTGAAAATTTGAATGGAAATATTATTAAGGAATGACAAATTAAGAGAAAAACTGTTGCTACGGAATTGTTTCCATATAAACTGAGAATCAATATTCAAGGCAGTTAATGTTGTTTTAAAAAAAAAATCTACAATAAAGACAGGAGGCTAATGTTGATGATATTTTTAATCATAAAGAATATTTCAAAGAGGGAGAACACTCAGTAAAAAATACACAGGCACTTTCCAATGGGTTTTAACTGATAAAGTCAGAAATTAATGAATGGAAAATAATATAGCTGATAAAAAATATTTTTATCTTTTTGTTAACAAATAAGGATGATTTATTAGCTTTCTTTGTGCAGTAGGAGGCAGGATCTAAAAGTGTGCTGATCATTATATTGGAAAATATTCTGTGAGAAAAAAAGCCATCGTTTTCATGGTAACCAGCTCATTGATAGATGTCTAATAGATATAGTCTCTAATAGTAGGTAGAATACAACAGCGTAGTGAAACAATAACAACTCGTGGATTTTATGAGAAAATTTTTTTTTTACATTTTCAAAATTAGTGAAAATGAGGAGTTACATTTACTATACTGATATAATTTGAAATGGAAATTCAATTATGTGAATAGGAAGAAACATATCTTGGAATATTACAATTGTGTGTGTTCTAAACTTTGGAAAATTTGAATTTAAGTGATGGAATGAAATTTTCTAGGAATACGTGTCATATTACTACACAGTCTAGCAATGAAATTATAAGTATTGATTTAAACATATGGGGTTTGAATAATTCCATGGATTATTTACGGTTAATTAGTTCAGTTCATGATTATTTTTTTGGAAAAATTTAAAAACCAAATAATTGGGAACATAAAACAGGATGCAAATTTGGAAATATATTGAACATGATCGGCTGTTTTATACAAATATCAAATTTGCTCAGGGGGGGGTTTTGGCTCCCTTTTTATGAGTGCTTTCCATCCAACAACAGAATTTGGAAAAATGGGGCGTGGCAAAAGCCCCCAAAAACGCGAAAGTGCCTCCTAAATTTTCCCCGCATAATTTTGGGTCCCTAGATCTTTAATAACCAAAAAATCACAGAATTTAAAGGGCCCACTCTTTGTGAAACAAAATTTTTGGAGATTCGTTTCCCAAACCCAATACTTTAATCGAGACTTAAACCCAAAGTTTTTTAATCGATTTAAAAACATTACATTTTTTAATTTTTTCTTTTAATAACCGGGAAAAAATTCCGCCCCAGTTTTGGGTAAAACTTAAATTTTTTCGACGCTTTTACTCCGTGGTAACAGAATTACATCTATTCCAATGAATACTTTCAAAAATGTTTCCAAACTGACAAATTTGTATTTATCGGGAAACCATATTGAGTTCATACATCCGAAAGCTTTCAATGGATTATTCAACTTACAACAACTTGAACTTCAGAATAATGCTTTGTCATTCCTAAATGGATCTGTATTTAGGTTTTTCAGTTCAGAACTTAAGGAAATTAAGCTCTTTAATAATCCATGGTTCTGCGATTGTAATTTACGATGGTTACTTGAGTGGCTGAAAAACAACAGTGAATCGGAAATTCAAAGACTAAGATGGAAATTTCATACAGATGAGCCCATTTGTGACGGTCCATCAATAATTAAACAGCGATCTTTTTCTACGCTTACTGGTGGCTGGTTTATTTGTCCTATTAGAATGTACTCAAAAGCGAGAAATATCGAGACGCCTAAAGGCGGAGAGGTTGAACTTTTCTGTAAGTACATGTCTGATCCATATGTTGAATTCAAGGGTTTAAAAAAAGGGGAACCCTTAAAAATTAAACCCGGAAAACAATAATATGAAGTTGAATCTAAAAGGCGATACCAGGGTTTTACCTAAAACTTAATTTTAAAATTTTTCAATATAACGATTTTGCAAAATACAAAAGCTACCCCAGAAAAAGATTTGGAACGGCTTTTGACAATTTTGGAAAATTTTAAGACCCCCTTTGACCATCAAAATTTTTTATTTCCCAAAGGGAAAGGGCACAGGGAAGGATAAAGGGAGAAAAAAAAATAGAACACGTAATGCCAAAAAGCTTTTTCAAAAATTGGGGGCGTCGTTTTTTTCCATTATGAAGGTGTTTTTGCTGAGGCTCCCAAGAGAAACGTTAAAAAAAGGGGAAAAAAAGAATAAAATTAGAATGATTTCGAGGACACTGAAAGCAAGGGGAATTTAAAAACCCAAAACCCCCTAAAAAGAACAAATGTTTTTAACATGAATTTCCCGGAGGTTTATTTTGTCATTTTGAGCTAAAAGGATAAAATAAATCATGTACGATTCTTTACAAAGGCCCCCGATGCCGATTCCCCATCCAACACAAAAAATATTTTTCCTTTTTAAAAACAAAAAGAAAACGACCCGGGATAAATGTTCAAACGAAAATTTAAATTTCACAAAGTAAACAAAAAAAATAAAAAATTAAAAAAGGAGTAAATTTTTCACAATGGAACAACATGCCAAATTAAAAATTTTTTTCCCCAAATTCTCAGCCCCCAAAAGCCCCTTTTTATAAAGCAATTTTTAATTTTTCCAAACGATTTTTTTGCTTCTACAAAACAATTATTTAACCCAAAATAACAATAAACTATAAAATTTTTGGGGGGTTTTTTAATGCAAAAACACCCGCCTGACTTTAGCCCTTATTCTGATGATAATGGATTTATCATTCCTTCTTACAGTGTTGGTCAAATAATGCCACACAGGGCGTCAACATTGCCACATAACGGTTACATCGCTCATGACCAAATTTACATTCCTCACCGAACCCGAACATTACCTCGCGGATATTCTCCGCACCATTCAGCAGATTACGGTTCGACGCCAGTGGTACGGAGTAACAGTGTTTCTGCTAATCATAAAAGTGCTTCAGTCGGACATTTGGGTATAATAAGCCCGCCAAAAAAACCTCCGCGTAGTTTTAATTCGAGAGAAACTGTGTCATTACATTCACAAAGTAGCTATGGTGACAAGGAAAATGGATTTAGACTATCTCTTCCAAAACCAGGGACTGTAGATAGATATGGAACAGCTGTTTAATATGTTTTTATTTTCATGTTTCTTATACAAAGCAGTCATGACACAAAAAAGTTTAAAACTTGTTTGACAATATTTTACATTAAATCTATAATAAAGTTAACATTTGATTTCATAAAAAACAACTGTTTCAAGGTTTAAAGTTATGTCTTAAATATTCAAATCCCAGATCTTTCTCAAAGAACATAATAAGCTTTTCTTATTTGCAATTCATAAAGGAAGTCTTTCTGTTACAGTTAAGCTTTCCATACACTGGGAATATACTTCTAACTTTTACTTGTGGAAAGGTTTTTTCTTCTTGTTTCTGTAAAATTTATATGCCTGTAAATATCTTTGCTTTCTTCCAGTAATTTCAGATCTTTTATTTTCCTTTTTTTTTCCAAAAATTATTATAAGCAAGATGACATTACTTCAGATTTCATGCATTTTGACAGTTCAAACTTATTTTTATATTGATCATAATTATAGATTAACATTAAAAAACTTAAAGCTAGAGAATTATTTCCTATTTCATAATCAATGAACCCATTTGGAAAATTTGATGTAAAATCTGGATGCATAAAAACCTTTTTTAAATACTATGGCTAAATTCTCAGATTTTGTTCAGATGTGACTGAAAATATTGCTTGAATGTTATACAAAATAAACAGTTTAATAACAAACATTACATCATACCTATACCATGCTACAGTTCTGTATTTTATACCACTATAAGATTTTTAAAAAAATTTTTGCTTCGAATTAAATGCTTGTTGACTGTGAATTTAAAGAATTAAACTGTAAAATTTTACATCTATGCATGCTGTTAACAGTAAAGAATCTGGACAGAATATTAAAGCATGCCTGTACAAGCTGGCCTCAGGCTTTGTAATTAAAAAGGCAAGTCTAAATTGCTTGTAGAACCATAAAGAGGAAAATCATCAGTGTTTAAAATATCTGTGTAATTCGGTACATGTCTATGTTATATATATCACTGTAAAATCTCGCCAGAGGGCATTGCATTATCATATCTATATTTGTCAAATATATATATAATTTATATCATTAACTCTAATTGCTTTTGATATGTCTTTATCCAAATAATATATGACTAACTCAAAATTATAATATCAATTGCTGTCAAATGGTTTAATGTTGAAGTCATTTAATTTTGCTGTACAATAAATTTTTCACAAGAAAGTTAATTTATTGTGAGAATAATTATTACACTGAGCAGTTTTGTCAATTTAACTCCTGTAACTTCATGATATTAATATTTTTTTCTGTTGAAATCAAAATTTGGTAAGCTGGATCATTAAAACTATAAAATTCAGGAAGATAAAAAAAAATCTCCTGTGAAAAATTCTTTTGATTTTACAGTTTAATTATGTACCTATACAAATAATTATCTGGGACCATTAACAAAATATGCAGTATTTCACTTGTTCATTTTTATTTTCAATATCTTAAGTGCAATTTCATGAATCATTGTCACATGTTTGTACACTGTCACTCATTGAAATGAAATGTTAAAATTACATAGGTAATTATTATACTTATCAAGATTTTACCTATCAGAAACTGTATGTGTCATAACAAAATTATGAAACATTTGTGAAAAATAAAAGTGTGCTTGAAATAATTGTGACATTTTTTTTTATTACATTTACTGAGTTGATTAACTCATAGATTGCTTGTTCACACCCTGTCATACAAAATAAATATACCTAATTTCTCATAATAACTGATAACAAAATTCATTATTCTAATAATAAAGAGTTTGACATTATTAAAATACAAATAAAAAAAGACATACTAAATTACTAGTATTTAGTTAACATTCTTTGATTTTGTCGGAAAAGAGGTATCTGGGGTTAAACTTCACAAATTTAATATCCCTATTGGCTGTAAAATATAACTGTTTGCAATTACATACCTGATAAAAAATACCATTTAGAAGTTACAACCTGGTCTTGCACATTTCAATACAAATTCCTTGATTTTCTAGGGAGGTTTTATTCCCATGATTGTGAAAATTTATGCATGCTCTCATAGATCTATCAGAATGAAACTTTTTTTTTCTCTTTGTTTGGGTTCATATGGCACTGAAACAGGAAAGATGATTTTGGTGTACCCTCAGGTGTTACAAACTTAAAGCAACACTAAGGGATCAAAACCCAACTCAACTGAATGAGCTAAGAGATGCATAGACTGAAACAATCCAATTGCAATTTTATTATAGTATAAAAGTTTATTGCATCAGAAATGTTTCATTGGAAGTATCTTGTATTATTTTGAGTTTACATTTTGATTTGATGCAAAAAGATCATCACATGTAACTGTCTGAGAACTGTCTGTAAATTTAATAATATTCAATATAAAGCAGCTAAATCATATTAAAGTGTAAAAGAAGGGCTTGAAATATAAAAATTGAATACTTCCAAAATGCTTGATAAATATAAATATGGTAAGTTAAAATTGGCTTAAAAATGAACAGTCATGCAGAAATATTGCCTAACAGATAAAACCCTATCTTAAAATAGCAGAAATAATATTTCTTCCGAACCATTTTATCTGTTAACAACCTTTTCATGTCTGTTAAAAAAAAGATATTTTTAAATTTTACAACTCCGATTTTTGGAGAATCTACGCAAAGAATATGGAACAAGATAACCTGTTGATAAATTTTATTAAAAAAAAAGAAAATAAAAAGATATAGATTTATACCCTTTAAGCTCATTATGATTTTAATGACCTTGAGACATTAATGTACTCTAGCGGTACATTAAGTAAAAGACCGGATATTCCTGTAACAGTAACTTAAGCATTTATATTGTCTGCATACTTTGAGTAATTAGCAACCACTAATCCAGTGCATATCTTTAAGGCATAATGCATTTTTGTTAACAATTCTATTGCATTTGGGGTTATTGTCCCTATACCTGGTTTTGTCTCATTTGATTAAACAAGAGCCACCGCCGGGCGGGGGCAACGCTCGACTTTTTACTTTTTCTAAACGCAAACATAGAAAGGTTTGAACATATATTGATGTTTCCTTTTTATAAATTTAGTTGGTCTGTCTTGTCACATTAGTTTTGTTTATATATTTTGTATATATATGAATAGAAACATTAAGCATATTTCTAAAAATAGCAACAGTACGCAATTTCTAAAAATAGCAACAATGACGCAATTTCTAAAAATAGCAACAATGACGCAATTTCTAAAAATAGAAAAAATGACACAATATCTAAAAATAGCAACAATGACACAATTTCTAAAAATAGAAAAAATGACGCAATTTCTAAAAATAGAAAAAAAAATGACGCAAATTCTAAAAATAGAACAAAAATAGCAACAGTACGCAATTTCTAAAAATAGCAACAATGACGCAATTTCTAAAAATAGAAACAATGACGCAATTTCTAAAAATAGAACAAAATGACGCAATTTCTAAAAATAGCAACAATGACACAATTTCTAAAAATAGAAAAAATGACGCAATTTCTAAAAATAGAAAAAAAAAATGACGCAAATTCTAAAAATAGCAACAATGATGCAATTTCTAAAAATAGAAAAAATGACGCAATTTCTAAAAATAGAAAAACATGACGCAATTTCTAAAAATAGAAAAAAAATGAAGCAATTTCTAAAAATAGAAAAAATGACGCAATTTCTAAAAATAGAAAAAAATGACGCAATTTCTAAAAATAGAAAAAAAATGACGCAATTTCTAAAAATAGAAAAACATGACGCAATTTCTAAAAATAGAAACAATGACGCGATTTCTAAAAATAGAAACAATGATGCAATTTCTAAAAATAGAACAAAAATGACGCAATTTCCAAAAATAGAAAAAAAATGACGCAATTTCTAAAAGTAGCAACAATGACGCAATTTCTAAAAATAGAAAAAAATGAAGCAAATTCTAAAAATAGCAACAATGACGCAATTTCTAAAAATAGAAAAAATGACGCAATTTCTAAAAATAGAAAAACATGAAGCAATTATATACATGTTTATAACCCTTCCAGATTTTTTCCGCCTTTTTGATTGGATATTGATCACCCGAAAGAAATTGATATAACCGAGCCAGACGGGTAATATACACATTAAATTTCCCCGATGGGTACCCCTTGTTGTAAACAAAATGCGCCGTGCGATGCGCATACGGTTTGATTTTATGCGATATAAATTCCGATTTACAAGCACTTTTAAACTGTCAAATGATAAATATTTACCAAAACAGAGTAATGATACATATTCTCGTCAGTATAGGAAACAAATATGATCTTTTGAAAGCTTGATATTAATTCCAAAAAAGTGCGTTCAACAGACTACTCCTTTTCTGTTGTATACATCCGTTATGTTCGAAAGAAAATACGTCATGTATTTATGTGACGTCATGTTAAGGTAAAGGGGTATCCTACAGGGAATCTTATTTCGACGTTTCATTTGAAGTAGCAATGATTTATTTTAAAATCGTCTTAACTCGGCAAGGGAAGGGTGATAAAATTATTAGTTTAGTTTTTGAGTGATATATTTGGATATTTTACCTGCCAAGATAAAATATCACCCTCGCCTAACGGCTCGGGTGATATACAATCTTAACAGGTAATATATCCACATATATCACTCCAAAACCAAAATAACATATAATATATATGTATATATATATATATATATATATATATATATTTGATATATATATATATATATTTGATATATATATATATATACACACACACATTTATATATATATATATAATACATATACTATACATACACACACACCAATAAATGCACAATCTGAGAAAATTCAGTAATATAACCTTCAAGGTCAAGGTCATTAAAGAGCCCAAGCAAATTTGGGTTTGATAAACAACAAGGTCTGGTCCTTAAGAATGTTCTGTTATAATATGAAGTTTATCCCTTCAAAAATAGCAAAGTTACAGTCAGTTACTGCCAAAACAATGAAAATTTCAATAATTTGACCTTCAAAGGCAATGTCATTAATGAGTGAAGGTCAAGGTCTTTCGGTATATTTTAACAGTTATCTTTGAAGATTATTATGTTCAAGTTTGAAGACAATCCATTCAAAAATAACAAAGTTACAGCCAATAATAGCCAAAAAAATGAAAATTTCAATAATTTGACCTTCAAAGTCAAGGTCATTGATGAGTGAATGTCAAGGTCTGACTGGTTATTTTTAAGGGATATCCTTGAAGATTATTATGTTCAAGTTTGAAGACAATCTATTTAAAAATAACAAAGTAACAGCCAATAACAGCATGAACAAGCAAAAATTGGACTTTTAACCTTGAAGGTCAAGGTCATTTATGGATGAAGGTCAAGGTTAGTGTGGTCTACTGAAAGGTCTTGTCCCAAGGGTTGTTGTGGCCAAGTATGAAGACAATACACCAAGAAATAAAAAAGTTATGATCCAGGTACAAGTTTTCGGACGGCAACGGCAACGGCAACGGAGACAGCAACGCCGACCTGACTATAACAATACCTCTACTTTTTTTTTTCAAAAAAAAAAAAGTCGAGCTAATAAAAAATGGCTGCCATATTTCCGATTTCAGACATGCTCAAAGAGCGCTTACCAATAAAGTACATTCTACCCACGACCTTGACCTTACATCAATTTACATTAATTTAACCATTGTTGCCAGGGATTGCTTTAAAGATGATTATAATCTAAGCTCCTTTGAATAAAAAAGAAAGAACCTACATAATTGTAGAAACACAGTCTAAAATCATTATAGTCTGCTTATTTTATACCATAATTTAAGTAAGAACTAAAATTTCCTGTCAAAGAAATGGAGAAAAATATCTAATACTCGGCTAATTAATTTAGTAGCAGGCAAAATCAATATTCAAGGCTGTCTTGAGGTTTTCTTAATTGTAGGGAAGGGTTCTTGTAATTTTCAACTGATTTTTCCTTTAGACTAGCTCACACAGAATACCTTATAATGGAGATAGTATGTGTGAACTTCATCAATTTAATGCGAATAAGGAATTGCTATGCTTGGATAAATTTAAGTGACTTAGAGGCAAGGACATAAGTATTTCATATATGTTGTGGAAAATTTTTGCTTTAGCATGATCTTAATCACCTTGACAAACCACCTTAAAAACTAACTCACTAATCCTTTTGTGCATTATAAATGAAAATATATTAATTCAGACCGCAGGCAGTTTAAATGTTTAATTTTAAAGTTGCCCTTTTCATAACAATGGTGCCATCCCAGTGTTATATAACATGGTGAACGAGGGTGGGCTTAGGGATTAACTTAGAAAAAAACCACATTTACCTAATTCCGGATAACATCTATCGGCTACAAAAGTCAAGGTCATATAATAAGCTAATCAACGATTTGAAAATATATTGATAAAAGAGGAACATATAAACTTAAATGTTTGTAATGACCCAGTTTGAGAGATTACCATTTATCATAATTACCCAGCAAGGAGCATGATATGGGAGATAACTCTAGCATTATCTTATCATTTCAATAAAATAAAAGATAATTTTCTTTTACTTTATATGAAACATTTGCTGAAAGAACCCAATCATCAGCAAACTGGAAGTAATACTATGAGAAAATATTTTTAATTCTTAAAGGTACTCCACAGAGG